GTATAAATTTTGGATTTAAATTGCTATCAATAATGGAGACTCCAGCTACTGAGCATACTAAAAAATACATGAGTGGCATCATCAATAACAAGGAGATCGATGCATTGAGCCTCAAGGAACAATATGTTGTATTTATCAAATGTGTTGGACCATATATTAATGCTGTAGCATGTGGTATATGAAAAAAAGTGAGGAAACTTAAATACACTCTTTTTCCAATTAGTTCGTTAATGGACTTGTAATCTTAACATAAATAAGAAAAATCTATTAAAACTGTGGCCTAGGAAAGATAACCATTTTCTGTTTGAAAAAGAAATATCAAAAACTGAACAGGTTTGATATTTGAAACATTCTTATGAAAACCAGACTTTGCTAATCTATAACTATCTAAAACTGTAATGACTCATCGATGTTCACGTGAACATCACTTAACTACCAGTAGTCGGCTGTTCATAGGCGGGGTATGAATGTTTAACATGAGTGAAGTAGATTTGTCACATGCTTAATAAAGAGTGGTTTGAAACATATTGTAAGTCAAAAATTTGGGAATTACCTTTATTCATCGTCGCTTCCACTTACATCTGACAGTAATAAACTGTCGCTATCGCTTTCCTCGTTGAAATTGACTATAACTGGCTCTATGATGATGTCGATGTGGTGGTCAAGCTGCCACATTTTCGTTTCTTCCTTCACAACATGACGGATAGCATTCTGCCAAGCTTCGGGCGTCACTAGCTGTATGGAAGTCTCAAGTAAAACCTTAACGTCTAGTAATTTGAAGGTTGTGTTATGGCGCGCAATATAACCCTTCACTTGAGCCCAGATGAGCTCTATTGGGTTCAGTTCACAGTGGTAGGGCGGTAACCGCAGCACAGTGACACCACATTGACGGGCCATCTCATCAGTCACGTAACTAATGTTCGCAGATTTGTGCTGTTTAATTTTCTCATACAATTCCGATTTCACACATGAATCGTCAAACGGGATTCCTTTTTCGCGCAACCATTGCTGCATGTCACTTTTTCGAGATCCCATAGTCGGTACACGTTCGGCTTGACGACTATGGTAGGAAGCATTATCCATGACGATCACAGAGTTGGGCTCAACCCGCTGAAGCACCCCTTGAAACCAGCTCTCGAAGCAGAGTAGATTTTTCTGCTTTGTCGCCTATATTCAATCATTTCGCGTATTTATTTTCGACGCCAGGCGACTATTTCAGGTCTCTCTATCAATACTGACTTCCGATTACGCGTTTCGTAACGAAAATTAATTTCGTGCAGGGATTTCCTCATTACCTCGACCCTCATTTGGGGTATAATTTCATTTTCCTTGATCGCTGCATGTACAGTCTTGAGGGTTGGTATCTCATTCCTAAAGAAGAATGAACGTACGGTTCGCCTTAACGCCATTTTGCTATCGTCATCCAATTTAACGGCCTTTCGTCCCTTCAAATTAAACTTTGGATCAGTAGTAGCTCCAGTTTTCTTCTTTTCATGCACCACCCTGCGAATGGTCCACTCTGGAACGCCTGTCATACTTTCACAACGCGCGAGTGTATCTCCCTGCGACATAGTTCTGTTCAGATAATTGAACACGTTGAGCACGATTTCTTTCGCGTCCCTCTTCAGTGCTTTACGAAGCCGTCTACTTGTTCCCTGGCTTTCAGTACTTCCACTCGTGAAAATTGTACTCTCCATGGTTAAGTATAACCAAAACAGTAACCACAGAAACCACAACAATAACAATCACACAACAATTCTTATAAAAACACACAATATGCGATCGCTCAACGAAACACGTTCCAATGCGTTGCCGACGCCTATGAGTCTGCCGGTCGAGGCGCGTCTTTGATTTCATTGGTTCTACCGGCGGAGAACAATCAGCCATTATTTCCATCTCTGTCTGTGCTGTTGACCACCGCAAAGCCACAGAAACGACATATGTCGTACGCTATACGGCTGTACTGGAAGGAAGCCGGGATCGAGCTCTGATCACGTGTTGATCACGCGTATGAGTCATTAGAGTTTTAAATAGTTGTAGTATAGTTATGATAGTCACAGTAAAAAAATATGAAATCTTTGGCTCGAAAGTCTGCATTTATCTCTTGTAGTATTAGTAGCTACAATTTAGTGTGTTTCCTAACTAAATGTCCATATCTAGGGGGGTGGTTTCAGGTCCATTTCAAGGTGAAAACTACACATGATCGTATGTCCTACATGGTTTATACCACTGTAATACCACAATGAAATTTGGCATACATGTACACGTGTCAAGAGGCATTGGTTCACTTTTATGTGCCTATTCTGATAGACAGTCGTGGTATGCCATTTATTTCTCTCTTATTAAAATTTTCAATTACTTCTAAGCAAAAATCACTTTGATTTTTTTTCAATCTGATGCACAGTTTTGATAAAAACGATCATAACAATATTGTTAACACGACAATATCACCACGCAGAGAATTTTTTGGGTGGAAATATTGGGTCGGACAAAAAATTGAAATCTTTTAGTCTGACGCACGGTTTTCGCCTGAAAAATACCTACCTACAATTAGGACGCCTTGATTGTCATTGTTTTAAACTTTTCCGTGTCAGCGCTCTATGTTGAAGTTATGTCACAAGTGTCTATTTGCATCATATTGTTCATGCTTTTTATTTACCTATATCATCAGCCTGAAATTTCCTACACTTCTAAAAGAAAACATAACTTCATAATAGAAGAGCGCTGACGCTGACACGGAAAAGGTGCAATCTAGAAATTTCTGAAGGAGAGAAAAGACTATGACAATCAAGGCCATAAAGGAGTCCTACAATTCTGGGAGGCTTTCATAGTTTTTTACTCTTCCGTATCAGCGCTTTATTTTGAGGATATGTTACAAATATCTGTTTGCATCAAATTGTTCATGCTCTTGATTCATATCATCTGTTTATAAATATAGCCTGAATTTCCTAACTGCATATCTTCGCCCTTCACAGAAAATTTATGGTGATGAGCAGAAGTCTCTGAAACATAAGAAAACGAGGACTGGGTAATTTATGTCTTCAAGTGTTCCGATACGCCGTCACTGGATCGATTTTTGAAAACCACAAAGCTTCTTTGTCCTCGGCATAGTAGCAATCTTGTATCAAAATTTAAGTGGTACTTCCCCAGATATAGGAGAGCCAAGGATTAGCGGACGAACACATCGACAGACTGACCGACAGATAGACCGACAGACACACAGACACACTGTCAAAACGTATCCATATTTCGCATACAGTCCAACGCTTGTACTATACATAGATTACATGTAGCTTGATATTAATTTAAGTAATGCATAACATGCTACTCCAAAACAAAGTTAATACCGATTGCAATACGGCGACCTCAATACACGCTGCTTTTCCCTCTAACTGAACCCAGAAAATTCTGTATTTCTAGCTCCGTGTCGTCTATTCTACGTATGTTATGAAATTAAAACTTTACCGCTCAGTCTCTGTATTTTTTTGAAATTGAACAAATGGTGTCACAGGAAGTTGGGAACTCGTTATGAAATTATATTGAAATTGAGAAATACATTCCATGGTTCTTGTTGAAAATTAATAAGTTACCTTCCATGCGAAAAGAAAGTGATCGAATTTGAGGTACCCGCCAAGAGCATTTCTTTATTCTAAAGCAACCTTAATACCGAGGTACTGCGACTAACATAAAGATGTTAAAGATACTTTGTTGGCGGGGAAGTGTCGTAATTGCCAAAATTTTTTTTGATCGTATATATAGAGAATATCGCGCCCACCTCGTTTATGCATAACGCGTCACGGCGCCGTTAGCTTTCTGCTTTCATAAGGTCGGAGGTCTATTAACATACATACAACAGAAATTTGCGATACACCCCCTCCCAACCCTCTACAGACCCCCCACCCCAATATGTTACCACTAAAAGATTTTTCAAAAATGATCAGGATCCCATGAAACGTCAAAAAAAGAAATTTGGGCGATTTTTGTTTTTTCAGCTTTGCCCCTTTTTTCCACTGACCTCGTTTCTGGACGGATGAAAATTGCGTGAGTAAATCTACTTGACACTATTTCTTCATTCAATCAAAATGTAGAGTCTATTCATTTCCACGTTGAATTGCATTATCCTATCTGCTATTCGCTACAGGCGGATTATAATTTCATTTCTCATATAGTCACAATTCACTAATAAAGCTTATAGAAATGTGATACTTTGATACATATCATTGATTAACAAGCTAGTTTATAAAATTTAATTAACACAGAAGCATAAATGCTGCAGGCCTGACAGAAAAAAAATCAGTACGTATCCAAGGTATACAGACAACAAGGAGTAAATCCACTTTTATTTCGGGTTTCCTGATCGGTGCCCCCCGAGCAGAAATGACCTTTTTTGTGCGTCTGACAGTCTCGCTCCAGTTTTTGGCCTACCCGGTAAATCACGAAACACGATGTCACTAATTTTCGTCCGTCCGTCTGTCAGTCTATCTGTTCCAAATCCTTCATCTCTCTATAACTCAAAATACGACTAGGATTTTAATGTTAATTTGACACAAATTTACTACTATGCAAATGATGAAAAATCTTTGTGTGCTGCGAAAATTGATTCAGTAGCGGCGAGCTACGCATGAAAAACGAAAAAATCTAAATCACCTAAACCTCGTTTTTTGTCGTCTCAGTGACTCTTGCTCATTTTCAGCTTTTTTTGAACGGTCAGTCAATCTACTTGGCAATATTTTTCTATTTAGTTGTCTGTCCCTGTTGAACAAGATGTATGTCGAATAGTCAAAATTTACTAATAAACCTTTTAGAAATGAGATATTTTGACATCTAGCGCAAGCACTAATTGACCAGGTATTCCAAATTTAATTAACACAGACGCATCGGTGTAATGGGAGCCTTATAGAAAAATACTCGATACGTATCCAAAATCTACAGATAACAAGGAGTAAATTCACTTTTATTCCGGATTTCTTAAGCGGTGCCACCGAGCAGAAATAACATACCGTTTTTGTGCGTCTGACGGTCTCGGCAAACTGATTGCTTCAGTGTTTGCCTCGTGGGCGTGGAGATGGTCATAGGAAGAACCTAAGAGATCTGTAAATTAAGTGATGAGATTATGTTCAAATATAGTTGAAGTTTTAAATTTTGTCGCTCAAAATAACTTCCTTCTGAAGCTATCTAGCACTGGTGTCAGTTCTTCCTCACCTCGTAGCAGTTCTGGAACTACTATACAGGAATACCTTTCTACTGCCACAAAATGGTACCCTTGAGGTGATTTCTCAACTTCGGCAAGAGAAAAGAGTCACAAGAGCTCAGGTCAGGCGAACAAGGAGGCTGAGGAGCCACAGGAATGTTTTTACTGACGAAAAACTCGTTTATTGACACATTGATGTGTGACAAGAAGCATTATCGTGATGCATCGCATCACCCAGTTGTTCTTGATCTGGTGAGCTCTCCCCGATCATTCTGACTATCGCTCACTGATCTGAACGCACAAGATCTCTGATGCTGTTGATATTTCCGTTGGTTTTTGAAGATGAAGGCATTCCGCTTTGAGGCTCATCTTTAATCGAATCTCTTCCTTCTGCAAATGTCTTAAGCCACCGAAAAACCTGGGCTCTTGACAAAACACTATCTCCATAGGCCTGTTTAGCAAGACTTTCCGTTGCACTGTGATAGCACACCGTTGCATGAAATTGATATCATTTGTAGAACACAATAGGAAAAATTGTTTCACAAAAAAACTCGCTACGGACTCGAGCGAGTTCAAACTTGTACTGAACGCAAATCACATGTTTTCCTGTCTCCCCTACAAGCTCAGCGCCTCCGGTTTTGCCAGATCTAACGCAACGTTGCCAAACTCGTAAGTGGTGTGAACATTGAGTTTCTGGAATTTATTATTCACTGGGGATATAGCAACACTGCCGTTCGCCATATATGCCAATATATGTCTACAGATGACGTCAAAGGCACGTTTGTGTCATATGCTTGTGTACTTCTTACAAGCTCTTATTTAAGTTGAGACCTGGTATTATGTACCGGAATTTTGATGCAGTATTCAAGTGAGCTGAAATTTTGTGCACGTTTGATTGCCAAGATAATACACAAATCAGATATAATCAAACTTGTATCTGATATGACTGATGATATGGAATGGCGATTTATCATTGTCATATTGAACCCTCTGATATGAGTAAGAAATTAAAGGACATGATGACAGAAACTCTTTTTAAGGTATATTCTTAAATTGATTTCATGTTCTGCTGCTGTCTTAAAGAGTAGTACCAAGTATCTTTAAGATTCCTTTCTGGATGCTGGAATATACCATATATATTCTGGTAGAATACGTTAATCAACGATTAAAGTCAATGCAAAACAGATACAAGCGGCGTCACCCGTCAGGTACGAACCGTCACCTGCCACCTCGGAGTACAACCGATGCCTAAAGGAGACTACTGTAAGCATCAGTAACAACATTTGTCTCAAGACAAATTTATATTTTACTTCCCACGCCCACTGGCGAGGAATTATTGTCATCGTGATAAAATTTGGAAATGAGATATTATATCATTCATTTCCGTCGGTCTGTCGGTCTGTCTGACCGCTAATCCTTGGCCTGTCTATAACTTAGAAAGTACTGCTAGGATTTGAATGAAAAGATAAAAAATTTGAAAATTGATCCAGTGGCGGCCAAGAAAAAGACTAAGCCTCACCTGATTTCTTGAGGAATAATATACAGTATACAGGGTGTTTCAGTTTATTGTTGCATAACTTTAAGATTCGATAGAACTTTTAAAATTAATGCATAAAGCCTATATATACATGGGTCGAAAAATGCGTGGCTTCCGAAATACATAAATTTGCTTTCTATAACAGTTTTTTTTTAAATATTTCGAACAATATTTAATGTATAATAGTGAAAATTGGTATACGAGGGTTTCTTGGTATGACAAAACGAACCATGGGCATAGTTTGACTGTAGACGCTAGAAGGCGATCTCTACTGTACCTGTAGTGTATTAAAATGACCGCAAATTTTTTCTTAGTGCAATTTTTTGCTTTTTGAATGAAAAAGCTCTCCGCACTTTTCAACATAAAAAAGCTCTCTTGTGAATTTTCGTTATAGTTAGCCGTTTTTGAGATATTTCGATTTTTAAGGTTCGATGCATTTTTAATTATTTATGATAAAATAACATTAAAAAGTCAGTATCTCGATAATTTTTAGAAGTAGGGTGAGCCTGCAAATATTTTTGAAATTGACAGCAGAATAAGGTTAAACGTCAATTAGTTGACACTTAGTTTTGTTGTCTGTTGAAACCTGAAACGTTTTTTGCAATTGTGAATGCACGAAATTTAATTTCTTTTACCTGTTTTTTTTTTGTAAGTTTTATAAAAATGCCATTTTTATTCTCCAATCAAGAGTTAGCGGATATTCATTTTGTGTATGGCTTTGTAAGCAGCAGAAGCAACCAGAGAACACGCACGAAGATTTCCAAACAGACGACATCCAACTCGCTCAGTATTTGTAAGAGTGCATCGCCAAATAATGGAAAATGGTTTTGGAAATCTCCAAAGGGATCAAAATATAAATGTTCGTCAGCGCAGATTTACCCGTATGATTCTGCGTGAGTTTGATAAAGATCCGACCACAAGTATTAGGAGAGTTTCTGGTGGCTTGGGAATTTCAGCAAGCCATGTTCACCGTGTTCTTAGAAATGACCATAGACGTCCTTACCATTTGCAACCTGTGCAAGGACTACAGCCAGGGGACGGAGGACCAGTCGCCTGGCCTCCACGATCCCCTGACTTAAATCCATTAGATTTCTTTGTGTGGGGATTTCTAAAAGAAAAAGTGTACCAGACTCCCGTAACCACAAGAGATATGCCAATAGACAGAATCAGGAATGCACGTGATGAAATAAGGCCTTATTTGAATAATGCGTACGTTCGATCATTCGTAGATGTGAATTGTGTATTGAACAATTGGGTTTACATTTCGAGCAATTACTTTAGATTTTGTATGTTTGTCCTAACTATCCAATAGCATTTTAGTTGTAAATAATTAATTTAATTTGTTAAAAATAATATTGGAAAATTAAACAAATTAATATTCTGTTTTTTTGTGTTTATTTGGAGTTAGGAATTATTGCTGTGTTAAAAACCACAATCTAAACGATCATCTTAATTACTTGTAATGCCCAAATCGTAAATGTCAAAAAAAATATTATTTTCCCATAAATAATTAAAAATGCATCGAACCTTAAAAATCCAAATATATCAAAAACAGCTAACTATAACGAAAACCCACAAGAGAGCTTTTTTATGTTGAAAAGTGCGAAGAATCAGTTTTTTTATTCAAAAAGCAAAAAATTGCACTAAGAAAAAATTAGCGCCCTCTAGCGGCTACAGTAAAACTATGCCCATGGTTCGTTTTGTCGTACCAAAAAACTTTTGTATACCAATTTTCACTGTTATACATCAAATATTGTTCGAAATATTTAAAAAAAAATATTTTAGAAAGTAAATTTAAACACTCTGTATTTCCGAAGCCACGCATTTCTCTACCCATATTTATATAGACTGTATGCATTAATTTTAAAAGTTCTATCGAATCTTAAAGTTATGCAACAATAAACTGAAACACCCTGTATATACTGAGTGACAAAAAGGTAGACACCTACGTATGTTTATCCAATTCTAATAATTTTTGGCATATATGTTCAGTGTTACTTACTAGTGAAATGATGAAGTTTTCAGCTTGATTCGTCAACTGACTGCAAAAGCTGGTTCAATAATGTGCTGAGGATCCACGATTTCTTATACACTCATTGACACGCTTGGGCATCGCGCTGATAAGGTGGTCGATATCCCGTTCAGGTATCTCATTCCAGGCTACTGCAACTTCGCGAGTAAGAGCTGCTAAAGTTTGTGGAGGGCATTACAAATTCAAGAGCCTGCGACCTATCATGTCCCAGACATGTTCAATTAGAGATATGTTAGGCGATCGTGGTGGCCAAGGTAAACGGTTGATGTGATGATGATCCATGAAGGCCAACGATGCTCTGGCAACATGCGGTCTGGCATTGTCGTGCTGAAAAATCGGGTTTCGGATGGTGTTGAGGTATGGAATAAGATGAGGCTTCACTACTTCCTGAATGTAGCGTCGTGCTGTCATATTGTCTCTGATGAAAATTAGTGGTGATATGCTACCATAAGCAATAGCATCCCATACGATAACACCACGGTGTGGTGATCGTAACGCTCTTTGTCAAATTGTGGGTCACGTCTTTCACTCTTGCCCGACCATCGTGCATCTCCAGACAGAAGCGGGATTCGTCACTAGAGACCACTTGATTTCATTTCAGGTCCGATAGAATTCTCTCTCTACACCAGGCGATAAGAAAAAAAGGCCAAACAGTCGTATTCAGCGATATACCGTACGTGTCCGGATACGCTCATTGGTGCAATTTGATATTTTTTTCGTGACAAGCTCAACTAGTGACGTTACAGTTCTAACAAAATCTACGTCTTCTTTATGACATTGCACCACATGGAAAATTGTACTAGTAGTTGTTTTCAGGGCATGAAGGGTATAGAGGCCATCTTTTTTCTTATTGATAACTTCCCGGAGCTAAGTCCACACCTTAGGTACTGATCACATAGTGGTACCACTATTTCTAGTCTATAAGCTCTCTACCTGATATAACCAGTTCGATCAATTACAAGCACAATTCAATTTTTGTAAACATGAATTTGTAACGTGTACAAGCATGGCTAATAGAATGGCAATCCATTTTGTTGTGAATTTTAAGCGTCACAGAGTGAGACAGTCTGACAGTTTAATGAATATATTCATCGAAACAAATTAGAATTTGTATATACAAAAAATAATCTCGTATGGATACTGTTGGTTTTGCAATTCAGTAAATTGGATATTTGTATTTACTGCATGACGTGACGTTTTATTTATAAAATTGTGGTATCCAGTATTCGTATACTTATAGATGAATGGGGCTTCCGATTTGCAGTTAACTTTACATAGGATAAGTGAAAATGCGTCTTAGCGTGAGCACACTCTCTTGGATACATATAGAATAT